AAGAGCATATAAGAATGTTTTGTGCTAAAAAAAAAGAATGTATTGTGCTTATGAAAAATGCTTTGGGGACAAGATTCTCCAAAAGTATTTTCTTCTTCACCTGAAATTCATGAATTGTGCAGAAAAATTTCAAATGACCAGATATACAAGTGTAAATTTAAGTTGTTGTTGTTGTTGTTGTTATGTACCGTCAAGTCGCTTACGGCTCATAGCAACCTTTTGTACAACAGCCCTAAACTCTGCTCTGTCCTGTGCCAATCACACTGTCTCTGACACTCCCATCCCAATTATCCCCGTCACTGAATCAATCCACCTCATAGAGAGCCTTCCTCTCCTGTGCTGTCCCTCCACTCTCCCAAGCATGATGTCCTTCTCCAAGGACCGGTCTCTCCTCACAACATGTCCAAAGTACGTTAGACAGAGCTTCAGAATCCTTGCCTCCAAGGAACAGCCTGGTTTAACCCTCTCCAGGATGAATCTGTTTGTTTTCCTAGCAGTCCATGGTATTCTCAATACTCTTCTCCAGCACCACAGCTCAAAGGCATCAATTCTCCTTCTATCCTCCTTAGTCACTGTCCAACTCTCTGATGCATAACAAGTGATTGCAAAGACCATGGCCTGTATCAGATGCACCTTAGTCTCCAGAGAGACACTATTGCTCTTCAGTACTTTTGAGAGGTCCCTAACAGCAGACTTTCCCATGGAAATGCACCTTTTAATTTCCTGGCTACTGGTGCTGAGAGTGTTGACTGTGGAGCCAAGCATACTAAAGCTGTGAACAATCTGAAGTAAAAGAAAAAAAAAATCATACTATGAACTTAGATAATGCAGCTAGCTAACAGCATTTACAAACAGAAATGTGTAATAGACTCTTAATGAAGTAATAAGCACTTGCTACAGATAATCAAATACTGTAGCCTTCAACGTGGATTGCATTTCCACATCATGAAAACAAAAATTTTCACCACCGAACTGGAAACATCATGATGGATGGAGAAAAGATTGAAACTACCAATGGCTTCATCTTACTTGGATCTATAGTCAACACCATTAGTGCCAGCAGTTAGGAAATCAGGAGATATATTGCACTGCTCAAGTTTAAAGTCAGGGACCTCTTGAAATTATTGAGGAGCAATGATGTCAGTTTGAGAACTAAGTGTACCTGATTCAGGCCAGTGTTTTTTCAGTCACTTGCTATGCTTCTGATATCTGGACTGTGAATAAGGATGATGGAAGAAGAATGGATGCCTTTGAGCTGTGGTGTTGGAGAAGAGTATTTAATATCCTATAGATTGCCCAAAGAACAAACAAATGGGTTTTGGAGAATATGCAGCCAGAATGCTCCTTGGAGACACAGGTGATAAAGCTTCAGCTCATGTACTTCGGACATGTTACTAAGAGAGGCCATTCTTTGGTGAGAGTTATCGTGCTTGGAAAGGTAAAGTGTTGGTGAAAGAGAAGAAAAGTGTCAACCAGGTGGGCTGACACAGTGACTGCAGCAATAGGCACAAGTATGTCCGGGATTGTGAGGAAGGCACAGTGGTTAGATCTGTTGTTCATAAGGTCATTATGCATCCATTGTACTGGACTCTGCAGCACCTAAAAACCACACCAACATTGGGACAATAAATAGTTAGTAAAGACTCAATCACACATTTTGTCACCTGGTTGTCTTATCTGAAATGATCATAACATTATTCTGGCCTTTCCTTTCTTCTGGCTATAGAATCAGTAGTAATCTTTGAATGCTACTTGGTATCTGAAATACATTTAATAGGAAGCGTAAACAATTATAGCTATTTAATTAAAAGGGCAGTCGTATTTTGAAACAGCTATTGTTCCCTAGAGAATGTTAGTGTTGTTGTGGCAATTCTGGAGTTACTTAGTGTTTTGACAAACCACAGTTTGTTGGTTTGTTGCATTTAAGGAATAATTAACAGTTTTTAACTTACCCAAAGCCTTTGTCCACACAATTTTCTCCACTGAATATGTGATCACTTCTTCCCAGTCAGATTCACCTGGTTCCTGTTCAAAGTGAGTATTCCCCCCAACTCCCACCGTCATCATCATTCACCTTTCTCAGTTGTTGGTTGAAATGTTGATTCAGAGTGATCACTTCCTTTCCAGCCCTTCAACAACCTAATACATCTGCACCTGACAAAATCATGATTACCTTTCTCTCCTCTGTCCTCAGCTCCAGTTAGACTTTTTCAGTTTGATGTTTCGTGTACACTTTGAAGACATGCACAGAATCAAAATCGTGCCGTCCTTTCCTATGAACCTTCTCATCCTTCTATATTTTCTACTACATGGCTGACAGGGAGCTTTGCTAGCCTAGTGGTTAGGAGGCCTGCTGCCAGATCAGAGGCAAGCAGTTCACATCCCCCAGTGGCTCTGCAGGAGAAAGACAGGCAGTGTCCTCCTGGGGGAGTCACAACCTCTGAAAATCCACTGCGGGATCAGCTTTGAGTTGATTCTGACTCGAAGGCCCATAAAAATAACAAAAAATAAAGGACTGATGCATGGTACTGTTGCATAATTGGTCACCAAGACCTAAATCATGGAGTCGTACTTGGTAGCTTCCCTGTGTCTTACTTTTGTTGTTGTTAGGTGCCATTGAGTTGGGTGTGACTCACAGTGACCCTGTGAACAACAGCCCTGAGCCCTGTCCTATTCTGTGCCATCCTTATCATCCCTGACACGCTTGAGTCCATTGCTGTAACCACAATGCCAGTCCATCTCATTGGGAGTCTTCTGTTCATTTGCTAGCCCTCCACCTTTCCAGCGATGTCCCATTGCCAGGAATACTCTTTTTACAGCAACATGTTCAAAGGATGACAGATGAAGCTTCTCCATAATTACCTCCAAGGAGCACTTTGGCTGTATTTTTTTTCCCCCCAAGACATACCTGTTCATTGTTTTGGCAATCCATGGAGTATTCAGTACTCTTCTCCAACATTACAACTCAAAGGCATCAGTTATTCTTCCATCATCCTTATTTGCCATCCAACTCACAGATGCATAACAAATGGTTGAAAATACCATGGCTTGAATCAGGCACACCTTAGTCTTCCAACTGACATCATTGCTCTTCAGTATTTTGGAAATGTCTCACACAGTTCAAATCAAAACCAACTCCATGCTATTACCTTGGAAATTTGACATTATTTTTGTATGCTTCTCCCAGCACTGACAGCACTGTCTTAGTCAACATGCTGCATTGCTTTTGTCAGTAATAACCTCCTTATTAGCTCTTTGTATCCTCTTCCTTCCAATTCAGGTTGCCTTCGGAATCTGCAATTCTCAGATGTTTTTCTTCCATGAGATGTAATACTCATATATATTGGCTCATATTCCTATGTCGTTTGTTTATTGATGTGTACCGTTGAGTCAGAACCGACCCATAGCTGACCCTCTGGCGGGTTTTCTGAGTCAGTTAATCACAGGGGAGGAAATTGCCCATGTTTTTTCTCATGGAGCTGCTGGTGGATTTGAACCATGTGCCATCGAGATGGAAGCACAGCTTCTTGCCATTAGGCCACCAATGATCTCTCAAGTGTTGAAGAAAGAGAAACTGAGTGAGGAAGTTCAAACAGTTATTCGTCGTCTTCCACAGGCCGTAAAGCCCTGCGTGGTCTGGCCGGTGCCTACAGCCTTCATGTCCTGCTTCCCTTTCCCTGCCAGCTTAACACCCCCACATCCTCTCCACTGGCTCCTTTCTTGCCTTTCTTACGCTGCCATCTCCTCTTATCCTTTTGACCTTAACTAAATGATACCACTTTGGGGAGGTTTATTTCAGAGTACTTCTAGTTCTAAATAAAATTAAATTTCCCATTCTTCCTCATAGCACTTGCCACAATTTGTAATGTTGACTTATTTTTGTTTTGTTGAATGCCTGGGTGACTGACAATATGTCTAAATTCTGTGCCTGTGTTTATTTTATTTGCGATGCATCCAGAGCCCACATACAGTATCTGGAGGAAATTTGGCACTCAGTAAAGATTTGCTAAGGTAATTAACTCATCACATGATGAACCAGTTGTCAACAATATTCATGACGTATCAGTAATCTTCCTGTAGCAATGGGCTCAATGATAATAAAGGTCATGATTTTTAATAGTGCAGAATCTGGCAATGTCTTGTTACATATAAGGTGGCTAGGAGTCTAGACTCACCCCACAGCGACTAAAACAACAGTAGGAAAGCTAACGAAAGGAAACAGGGTAGAACATTCTGTGGGTCATGGACCATTATCTGTAAAACTCATTGTGAATCTGTTATTACTGAGATAATTTTCAATGTGCTCTAACATAAGAAAAATAAATTTTTAGTGTTATTTCTCTTGTTTGTCATACCTTATTGCCACCCACATTAAGTCTGATCACAGTCCCTTGACTGGCTGTCAGAGTTTTGTCTTTGTGTGACTACCAGATTTTTGTCCTGAAGGGTAAACTGTTAATCCTGCTTCTGAATTTTCCGTAGCTTTCCACTGCTTTTCAGGATAAAGTCCAAGTTCTCTTGCTGCCTAACCAAGTTACTGTCAAACGAGTCTAGTCATTCTTTCCATTCTCATAGCCAGCCTCTGCTATACGTAAGGGCTTTTGTATCTTAGCATGTCTTGGCAATGTCTCTCCTTTGTTCTTTGGTTTGTGTTAAATAAATCAAAACACTTGTTTTTCCTTCCAACTCCTTGATATGAGTCTGTACCACTTTGATTTTCTGACCTGTACTCACAGAAATGTTTACATTTGGAAGAAGAGAACCGGCAAACAAACCGCTATATGATTAAGTAGTTGGTGTCATTTACTTGATGCATATGTTTATTACAATACAAACAAACATATTTGCCTTTAATAGGAGATGATGACAGATGTTCCAAGAAACAATGTCCTGTACTGAGTCATGGGTGTTGATAAAGTAGCTAACCTCATTAGCTTTCTTCATTAAATGTATGCTCTTTCTGAGTCACCTTTTTCTTCTTGTTTGTTTATTTTAAATAGGCGGTGTTTGCATTGCTCAGTCACAGAAAATCCCACGTGAACCAAGACCTGGAGAATTTGAAAAAATCATCAAACGCCTCCTAGAAACGCCGAATGCTAGAGCAGTGATTATGTTTGCCAATGAGGATGACATCAGGTGCTGATTACTTTTGTTGCTTCTATAGGATCAGATTTGTGGCTCACATCCTTTTTCTGACATATTTCTTATTTAATGTAAAACTATGTGCGATTTCACAGAAATTGAAAAATTCTCTTGCAATTACCGACTGCTTTCTGCCATGAGACACACAGCTTTCTGGTGTCTAAGTCTGAAATGCCTACTGAGTAAAACCTGGGAACTGAACAGGATGAGAAAACTAAAGATAACAGAGTGATGCAAATAAGCTTAAGGAAGACACTGATCAATGTGTGTTGGAGTTAGGTTCTAATATCTATTTGCTTGAGGAGAGAAGACATAGGTAGCCAGAATGAGTGGGTAATTGGGTAGCGGTGACCTACTGAACGTTTATAATACGTCTAATCTTATAACATTCGTAATTATAGTGTTTCTTGATTAATGTGCTCTCTTTTATTTCATTTTTGTTTCCCCTATAGGAGGATATTGGAAGCTGCAAAAAAATTAAACCAAAGTGGTCATTTTCTCTGGATTGGTTCAGATAGTTGGGGATCCAAAATTGCTCCAGTCTACCAGCAGGAGGAGATTGCAGAAGGGGCTGTGACGATTTTGCCTAAAAGGGCTTCAATTGACGGTAAGGGAGCAATAGAAGAGTTCTTTTGGTCCATACGAATGAAAACTCCAACAGGAAACCAACGTGACCAAATATGATGGAATGTACTTGTTGACGGTGTTGGGCAGACGCTAGTTCTTGTATCAGAATTGTCGGGGTAATGATAATATATGTACGTAGATATTTGGAAAGAGAACCCATTAGATTTCTTTCTCTCTCTCTTTGCCCCTTCCTTCCTTCCTTCTATTTTGAGAAGCAGGAAAATTGTTAGCCTTGAATAGTTTCAGATTTTCAATCAATCATTTATATACATTTTGTTTCATAACATTAATGGCAGCCAATCAACGACACTTACTGCAGCATCTCATCAGATCCTCACTGTGCCTTGCCTTTCCCTTCACCCAACCCATCCACGTGCTAATCTCTGTTCTCCTCCCGTCACTCTCAGTTCTCCCCAGTAGTTTCATTCTGCATGCACATCTTTCTTGCAAAGGTCAGGCATGTATAAACAGGTCCACGTTGTTAATTACAATGCACACAATTCTTGATTGTCCATTCATTATATATTTTTTATGTTAGCAGTTCAGTCTTAACTTTAAAGAGTTCCAGGAGTGTTGTCTTCAAAGTATATCCTTGTAAGAGATCGAATGTTTGATCTCTACAAAAAGCAAACAACACTTGGTTGACCCTATCTATAATATATGCTACAGGAAAGATGTGAAACATCCCTGAAAGGAGGTCTGCCTCCCACAGATCTTGTCCTAGGGGCTTGATAGTGACCCAAACCCAGACATTTTCCCATTATTCCTTTGGAGTAAGGTATTCTTTTCACTTGGTTACCTAGTGAAAAATTACCTAGGCAAACTGACACGTTAGCCTATTACATTTGAATGTAAATAAAAAAATAATTAATATGTATTAGCACTGATTTGTTTATTGAATTATCTGAGAATGGGGAGTATAGGACATATATATATTTAACAAAAACCTTATTGTGATTTAGGTGAAAGTTTATGGAGCAAATTGGATTTCAATTCAACAATTCATGTTCACATTTTGTTTTGTGTGTGAGATAGATAGATAGATAGATAGATAGATAGATAGATAGATAGATAGATAGATAGAGTTGTTGTTGCTTGCCTTTGAGTCAGGCATGACTCATATCGACCCTATGAACAAAAGGCCTGAAGCCCCTCTACGACTATCGACATCTATCAGAGTTCACAGAGTTTCCGGAGGCAAGTTGTATAGGAAGTGGATGCCTCTCCTGCTTCTAAATTTCAATCCACATAATAAAACAATACTTTGCTCATTTCATCTTTGTGTTTACTATTTCCATTCATCCAGGTTTCTCATGCTTTCCTGATTTTTTTTTAGTTCTATCCCTGGATAAACACTGTCCTTCTAATTCATCTCTGCTTGTTTGGTCCAAAGAGTGTCATACCTCCCTGGTGCTATAGGTGTTATCTATAGGTTGAAAACTGACTACAGGAGTGTGGTCACCTGTAGGCTTGAAGGGTGCCTACGAGCCATAGTCTTGGGGATTCCACCCATCTCTTTAAGACCATCAAACTTGGTCTTTTAATTTTCAAGAAAGTGGTTGTTGTTGTTGTTTGGTGCCATCGAGTCAAGTATGACTCATAGCGACCCCTTGCGCCATCATCACATTTCCTACGCACAGAGCCCATTGCAGCAGTCACGCTGTCAGTCCACCTGGTTGAAGGTTTTCCTCTCCCTCACTGACCTCCTACCCTTCCCAGCATTATGTTCCTCTCCAAAGAATAGTCCCTCCTAAGCAACATGCCCAAAGTATGTGAGGGGAAGTGGTGAAGCCTCATCACTCTTGCTTCCAGAGAGCACTCCAGCCACACCGTCTCCAAGACATAGCTGTTAGTTCTTTTGGCCATCCATGGGATGTTCAGTGCTCTTCTCCAACACCACAGCTCAGAGGCATTCTTGGTTTCCACACCCTCCCACCCCGTCATCTTTATTTATAATCTAGCTCTCAGATGCATAGCAAGTGATCAGAAAGACTATGGGAGAATTTGGTAGTACAGAAAAAACAGGAACATGTCTTCATGCTGGGAGAGAGAGAGAGAGAAAAGAGTTGAAAAGAACTGGAAAAACCTAAGCTGGACTTCTAACCTTCAGGCCCTTGGATGAGGCCATGGACTGCTGCTGTGCAAGGTGATGGGGAAGGGGAAGAAGTGAGGATGATTTCTACAGGTTAATTTCCTGCTACACAGTCATCCCTGGAGTTAGATGCCTGGGGAGTAGAGTGGCGATTATTGTCCACTGAGTCGTCTTGGATTTTGCATTACAGAAGCAGACCACATGGCCTTATTTCTGGGCTATCAGCTCTTATTTGCTCTGGAGGGAGTTGTGTTGGTAACTCAAAGGTAGTGGCTCTCAGGTGGTTCAAATCTCCTAGCAGCTCCTGGGGAGAAAGATGAGCAGTCTTCTCCCATGTGATTTACAGCTTCCTGAAAGCCTGCTGGAGGAGAATTATGTCAATTCTGACTCAAAGATGAGGAACTTGAGTGGGCTTTTGAGCAGTCATTGACCTATGCATTTTGGTCTATGAATTTCATTGCCATGAAGAGAAGGTACCCTGGTATTTAGTCAACATCTCTGACTTTATTTGGTCTTAATTCTGAGAGAAAATTAAAAGAACACTTTTCTTCTTCAAAATAGGGTTTGATCGATACTTTAGAAGCCGCACGCTTGCCAACAACCGAAGAAATGTGTGGTTTGCAGAATTTTGGGAGGAGAATTTTGGATGCAAGTTGGGATCACACGGGAAGAGGAACAGCCATATCAAGAAGTGCACAGGTAGCCGTTGAGGGTTTGCCTTGGTGACTTGGTTGCACCATCATCTCTGGATAAGGGAAATCTTTCAGTGCAGATAATGAAATGATCTTGACTTGCTTTGTGATTCTAACGGTTTCTTTGCAGGGATGAACATAACATTACTCATTTAATAATCTTGTGTTTGCTCGCCTGCTCTTATAGTTGATCTAGTATTTACTGGGCATGAACTGTGTGCCCAGCACGGGGTATTTCAATTATGTTTGACAAACATCGAGCATCTACTCTGGGCAAAGCATTTTACTAGGTTTGGTGAAATATACACAAATCAATAGGACAGAGGATTGCTCTCCGGGAGCTCAGAATGTAGTGAAGGTGATGGGTCATAAATTGCTATAAGATGGTGTTTTTCAACTATTTCTGTCTATGTCCCCAACAATGCTAGTATTGTCCATATCCTGTGTAGCTCCAACAGTTGTTTTGTTTTGTTTTAATATATATTTTTGCCTTCTATAGCTTGTGCTTAAAAATAACAGTGATAGTGAAGGTGCAACTTTTAAAGAAAGAACAAAATTGTCTTTATTTGCAGGTAACAGTATTGAACATAAAGGAACACCAATAGAATTGACAAAAATACTTAAAACTAAGAAGTAAATTTAGTTAAGGCTACTGTATACAATGTTAATGTAAAATAATTTCTTCGCTATCTGCATATACATGTGCACACAAATACATGCAAGTGGGTATGCAGTAAAAAACCTCATAGTCACTGTCACCAGATTGATTCTGACTCATAACATCCCCTCATTACATTTCCAAGGCTGTAAATCTTAATGTGAGCAGGTTATCTGTCTGTCTTCTGTGGAACTGCTGATGGGTTTGGACCACCAGAGATCTGCAGTCTTTTAGTCAGAAGCACAATAGACTCCAGATTATGCAATCAGCTGTGTATACCGATATATGCAAATCTATCTCTGTCTCTCTGTGTGTATCTATTATCCTCTATCTATCTTCTATCTATCTATCTATCTATCTATCTATCTATCTATCTATCTATCTATCTATCTATCTATCATTGTTGTTATGTGCCATTGAGTTGCCAGTGTCATAGTGACCCTGTGTACAACAACCCTAAACCCTGCTCTATCCTGCGCCAATCTTATTGTCTTTGACACACCCACCCCCATTACCCCAGTCACTGAATCAATCCATCTCATTGAGGGTCTTCTTCTCTTGTGCTGTCTTTCCACCCTCCCAAACATAATATCCCCCTCCAATGACTGGTTCTTCCTTGTAACATGCCCAAAGTATATCAGAGGGGGCTTTAGAATCCTTGCCTCAAAGGAGCAGCCTGGTCTCACTTTATTCCGGAAAAACATCTTCGTTCTCTTAGCAGTCCATGGTATATTCAATACTCTTCTCCAGAACCACAGCTCAAACGCATCAACTCTCTCTCTCTATCATCCCTAATCATTGTCCAGCTTTCTGATGCATAGCAAGTAGTTGCAAAGACTATGACCTCGATCAGGTGTATCTTAGTCTTCAGAGTGACATTGTTGCTCTTCAGTGCTTTGGAGAAGTCTGTGACAGCAGACTTTCCTAATGTAATTAATCTTTTGATTTCTTAGCTGCTGGTACCAAGAGTGTTGATTGTAGAGCCAAGCAAACCGAAGCTATTAAAAATCTCAATCTCTTCAGCATCTATCATGATGCTGACAATCGGCCCAGTGGTGAGAATGTTTGTTTTCCTGATGTTGAGCTTCAATCCATATTGAAGGCTACAGTCCTTGACCCTGTGCAGCAAGCTCTTCAGATCTTCCTCAGTTTCAGTAAGCAAGGTTGTGTCATTGGCATAACACAGATTGATGATGAGTCTGTCTCCATTCCTGGTGCCACATTTCTCCTCATAGAGCCCAGCCTCACAGATAATGTGTTCTGCATATAGATTTAAAAGTTATGGAGACAGGACACATCCTTGGTGTATACCTTTCCCAATTATGGGCCATACAGTGGTATCTTGCTCTGTTCTGACAACTACCCACTGGTCCAAGTATAGGTTTTGCATAAACATGATCAAGTGTTTGGGGATTCCCATTCTTCTCTGAGTTAGCTACAGTTTGTTGTGATCTACACAGTCAAATTACACACACACACACACACACGTATTTATGAGATAAAAAGGAACCACTTGCTAGGGAAGGACATCATCCTTTAAAATGAGGAAGATCAGGAAAAAAGAGGGAGGAGCCTAGTGAGTTAAACAGTAGATCCAACAGTGAGCTCAAATAACATTGGTGGGTAGGATAGTGTAGGATCATTGGCCATGTTTAGTTTTGTTTTACATAAGTTAATTATGAGTCAGGGCTGACTCAATAGTACTTAACAACACATATTTATGTGTGTGTGAAATTAACACCTAGAAATAAAATTTAGAGGATATTATTTATAGATATCAAAACCACAAAATAATAAGGCTAACTTTTCTTGACCCGTTTCCTTTGAAATTAGCTCTTCAAATAAAAGAAAATGATGATACATGCTGAAACAGACATATGAGCAGAGGAAATGGATGGTAATGTAAAGCCCAATGTCACATTGCGGAGGAATCTGATTTTGCCCTTGTTGTGTGCACCTTTTTGCATGTTGAAATGCATGAAGAGAGATGAGGTCCATGTTAACTGATAGCATGTTTAAGTGTTCAAGCGGAGACCCTGAATAAATAAATGTGTAAATAAACAAGTGCAAATAAAGATACTTCTGTAGACTGAGAAGTGCTTAAGAGCTTAAGGAAGGCAACACCATAAATGTGAGCATGGCCAAGGTGGCCGTATTATTTGGTCACAATACACCTCCTGAGAAGGTGACATTTGAGATGAAAACAGAATGATAAGGAGTTATAAATCACGTGAAGACAAGAAAAGTACATTTCAGAGCCCAGGATAATAATAAGCCTCTTTAGTTCATGCTATATAGACACAAAGTTCCTGGTGATTAAAGCATAATGAGTGGATGGTAGATGAAATTACAGAAATAGTCTAGGGGCAAATCAAGAGCTTGATGGTTTTTCCAGGAGGTACAGAGCTGAGGACATTGAGTTTTGCCTTATGTGTAGGACTTGTTATCAGAGAATTGTTTAATATTGATTCCATTATGTAATAATTATATAATACTGTTGCCAAATTCATCTGGCAGAAGTATGCCAAATAATTCTTTAAGTGCTAAAGAGCAAGAATATTACTTTGAAGACTAAGGTGTGCCTGACCCAAGACGTGACATTTTAATTTGCTTCCTATGCTTTTGAAAGTTTGACAGTGAATTGAACCAAAGAATTGAACCTTTTCATCTTGATGTAGGTCATGAATATTGAATGATCTTTAGACGAACAAAAGAACAAACACATCTATCTTGGAAGTAGTATAACCAGAGTGCTCTTTAGAAGGAAGGATGGAGCAACTCCACAGACCCGTTATATTCAGACTCGTTATGACATCATATGAGAGATCTCATCACAGGAATGACTACATCAAGAATGTCAAGAATCGTAGACAACCAAGTTGACATACAATTTTTATCATCACAAGGTGGAGGTAGAGGACAGATGCTGTCTCTAATAGGTACAATTTAGAGTACAAATGAGAGATTGGAAGAGTAGGAATGATGTGGAAGTTGGTAAGTGATGAAGGGTCTGAAAATAAAACCTCCATCTGGGATATCCAGGAAAATGATGATGTAAGTTAGAGAAAGAGAAGGTATGGCAGATGTTTGTTTTTGATACAGTCTCATGAAAATTCCCAACAAGTGACAGCATAAGGGTATGAAAAAAGAATTCAGCATCAGACTGACAGGTTAGAGTCAGAGAAAGAGATGTGGAAGTTAAAGACAAAGAGACAAAACAGCTTACACAATTTGAGGAGAGATGAGAAACGGATATTAACAAATCAAGGAGAGGAGCCATGACTGGAGGCTGAGAATGGCGAGCTAGGGTAAGGGGATGAGAAAAATTGTCCCTGTCTCTTTCAAAGACAGGCTATGAACAGAGTTTCAGTGCTGCTGGGAAATGATCAGAACAGATTGCCTGTTTCTGCACAATAGCCACAAACTGTGATGTTTGAACACATGGTGAAGGCTCTTGTGTCAATCCATCTCACTGAAAATTTCCATGTTTTCACTGACCCCATGGTTTAGCAAATATTAGGCTCTTTTCTGGGAACTGGTCTTTCCTCATGATGTGTCTATAGCATGTGAGACAAAGTTTTGGTATACTTGCTCTTAAGGATGTTATCAAATGGTGAAGGTCTGAGAGAATCATGTTGAGAAGGTAGATTTTTACTTTACAATAAGTTTTACAAAGAAAGAGAGTAGATATGATAAAAAGAACTTAAGAAAGGAACAAGAGTAGAGCAACTTTTTTGAGTAGAACACATTTTATGCTTTCATAGAAAGGGAAGAAGTTAAGAAAGGGAGATGAACTACAGAATGGACATTTGATGGACATTTCAAGGGGAAGCGTGAAGAGCTCTGGCAACATTACCTTTAAAAATGTGATGCAGCCAGTTAAAAGTTACAAACACATATGCAATTTGTGAAAAAATATAGTAATTAAGTGCTTAAGGCAGATGCAGATTGAAAGACCTTCTGAAAACCTGTAACAATTTCAAATTGGAAGACTCAAAAGTTTTGTAGAGGACAGGAATGTTTGAGAACATGGAGGATTTGGGAAAGCGTATTTCAAGAGGGAACAAGAGGCCATCAAGACAAAGATGTGAAAGAGGCCATGACTCGGAAGTGAGTGTGGCAACGTGGAGGGAGCAGCTGATTGGTGAGGAGGAGGCTGGTGCTTGATGGGACAGAACGAAAGGACTGCCTGTTAGACTGTGACAGCAGAGTTTGTGTATACAAAGTACTTTGAGTGTTTACACAGTATATACACAGTACTTTAAGTATTTTTTTTAATTCAAATATTTTTTACACTGTGCTTAGTTCTGGATTCTGAATGCTATTGATTACTACATCCGCGATTGCCT